AGATTGTTAAAAGTAAAAGGAAGGAATATAAAGTTGGTTTATTTGATCAAGGGTAAAATAGGTATGTTGTCATCTCTGGTAACCCTTAATGGACTTTTGCTGATCAGGACTGAAACAACAAGGCTTTAAGGATTTGCTTATTGATAGGAGATGGGATAGGAGAAAAAGAGATCATTTGTTGTATTTTAAGAGAAGGTGATAAATTACTAAAATTGCTTATACTTGTGATGAAGGGGAAGCCATTTCTTTATAGATATATTTTTTCTTTTTCTTTACTATATTTTTTTCTTTTCTGCACTATTTTTTCTTTTTACTGTTTTTTTTAGTTTGTATGAGTTTTCATCTTTGTAATTGTAGTTTTTAATAGAATTACTAATTTAAAAGAAAATTCCTCTTCCTCCTCCTCTTCCCCCTTTCTAATCCAAATACGTCTCCCTGTAGCTTCAGTCAGCTGGTTCTGGTCCTGTGGTCCAGGGCGACAGAGAGCAAGGCCATTCTCTCTCTCCCCAGCACTTGGCCAAGGAAAGCAGCATCGTCTTCCTTGTGTTTGTGGCCTTGGTTGTGTCCGGCTGCGTGGTAAGTGATGGGTGTGGCTAGTCCTGTCCTGTGGTCTTTGACTGCTGGGTGTGGGGGAGAGGGAAAACCAAGACCACCCCCTTGGCAGAGATAGGCGAGGGGGCTCATCCTGGAGGGATTCAGCTTGTGGAGCTGTCCCAGCCTCAGAGGAGCTTCTGCCTTCCTTAAGCGTCACGGTTAGCAAAATGCAGCCCCCAGGCCCTGCCAAAAACCCCGGTCTCCTTTCGCCTGCCATCAGCCTTGGCTGCCCGAATGCAGAACGCAGCCCGTGTCTCTGAAGGCCGTTGATCGATTTATGGCATTTATGTTTAATTGTAGGCATATTCTGGGAGGCCTTAGAGGCCAATTAAAAGGAACCAGTCAGCCCAAGGTACAAAAACAAGTAGGGGAACCTGGTTCAACACTGTGCTAAGATATGGCAGGGCTTCCCACAGCACATCAAACTAGAATCTGCCCAGACCCATTTTAACCTGGTTTATCATGTCAATTGAGGGCAGGTAAGTGCATAAAGCAAAGAAAACGGGCTTTTTCTGAAGCCACACAGGGTATCTGGAAGAAACTGGTTTAGAACATGCCAGATCAAGGGGCCGGGTTAAAGCTTTGCGCTAAGGCGGGATTTCTTTTGCAAGTCGAGTGGCTGCTTTATAGGCAATGCTAGCTTACACACCGCAGTAGAATTCGCTCCTTGCCCTAAGCCAGAACCAAACAAATCAGAAGAGCGAACCTCTTCTGCCTCCCCACCTTGTCCATGACCTAAAAACAGGCTTCTGTCCCACTCGCTTCATTTCACATGAAACGAAGCAATCTGTGTTGCCAGGAAAGGCCAAAAAGTAACAGCTTGGTCTATCGCAACTAAAGTTTTATTAGCACGGACCTTAATGTTGTTAGTCTGTTTTAGCGTGGAGTTTTACGATCAGCGGGAGAGCTCAGCCATCGTGGCCCTTTATATCAAGGCAGGCCGCTCTGTGGGTGACGGCCAACTTTGGAAGTCCGACCCCGCCCTGTTGGCTGCCAGGGTGGGCGAGGAGCCTCTTGAAACATCTGGCTCCCCAAGGGCACGTGTGAGAGGTCCTCCAGGATCTGCTCTGGCAGGCCCGCTTCCCTTTCTGGCAGGGGGGCTCCCTGCAAAGCATCGGGGCGCTCGCTCATCATCCCTTCTTCCTCTGAAAGGGACAGTGGGGACAGGAGGGGGCGCGTGCTTTGCGGGAGTC